CGATCAGCTGATCCATCTCCTTCTTCAGCGTAACGCACTCCGACGTGTTATGGGTGCTGTTACGGTGGTACTCGCAGTATTTGGGTGCATCTTGCACACCATAGCTTTCCCGACCATGAGGAGGGGCCGGCAACGACTGTACCGCGTGAACGGGATGCCTGTTCGCATGATACCCGGTGGGGTTCGGCCCCTTACCATATTCCTTCCTCTTCTTTCCTTCTGCCACCGGTGGCCCGCTTTTCTTCTCCTTCCGGACTGGTGGCTCATCATCTTCCTCTTCCAGCGCCAGGTACTTCGCCCTGGCCAACATCTCTTGATAGGTCGAGAGAGGATTCCGTCGCAGCTCCTTACGCACATCCCCTTGGGGGAGTGCAGCTTGGAGCATGGCGATCAGGGCTTGGTCGTCCGCCCCTTGGACATCCCTAGCCTCCTTCTCCCACCTATTAATGAACTCCCGGAGCTGTTCCCCCTTCCGGATCTTCACATTGAGCAAATGCGAGAAGGGGAGCTTTTGTCTCCGGCTGGACGCGAAGTGCTCCAAGAACTTGTGGGCCAGGTCGCCCCACTTATCTATCGACCCCTTGGGTAACTTGTGAAACCACTCACAAGCCTGCCCTTCCAGTGTCGCCAGGAAGCACCGACACTTGATTTCTTCTGGATACGCGTACATAACCACGTTGGCCCCGAAACGAGCGAGGTGGTCTTGGGGATCGGTCGTCCCATTGTATGCCTTGATCTGGGGAGTCTTGAAATTATCTGGGAGAGGGCAGGACATTATCCTCCTGGAGAAGGGCGTTACCTCACTGAAGACCACCTGGCGATAGGGGTTCTGGGCATCCAGCTGCTTCTCCAGTTGTTCGTACATTTTCCACAGCTCGGCTGCACCCTTATCCTCGACTGTCCTCCGTCGCTCCTCAGAACCGACCTTGGAGGTCGCTGAGGACTCCCCTCTCTTCTCCTTGAGCGTGTCTCTCAAGTCGCCTTTTCGGGCCGACCGAGTGTCCTGCAACCTTTCGAACGCAGAGGTCCGAGGTTTCTTCGACTTGAGATCTCCCAAACGGTCAAAAGCAGACATCCGCTCGAAGGAGGACGACTCGTCCTCTTCTTCAAGCCTGGAGAGCGCATCTGCCATCATAGCCTTCCCATTGGGCTTGGTCGCCTTCTTCTTCTGGGACCGCCTCACTTTTTTCTTTTTTCCTTGGGAGCCCGCAGGTCCAGCCTTCTCGCCTGTGGGTCCCCCAGCCACATCTCCCACCACTACCTCGCAGTTGGGCGCAAGTGCGGCCAGCACCTCCTTGAATTGTTCGGTCGTGATCCCAACCCTCTGAATGAGGGCCTCAGCTTCCCCGGTGGTGATGGGGGGGTGCCGACCTCCGGTGGCGCTGTTCTTCCCCTGTTGCGGAACTCCGGTACCTACGTTGGCGTTGCTACGTGTTTGCACCATCGTCGTTGTGGAGGATTTCTTCCGAGTATGATTCTCGAACTCTCAACGAGAGCACCAATTTGATGGACAATAAATCCACCAAATGATCCGATTTACAGAGCGGATTGCAAGAACAAAATTAAGAACAAGAATTCGAGAATTGGATGTGTATTACTAGCTTGATTTAGCCTCAGTTCTCCCCTTTCGGGTCCCTTCTATTTATACACGAGCTCTCAACAATTAAGGTGAAGCGTAACCGATGGAGTCTAGCCCGCCAAGGGCGCGATCCCCTTTTCCCGGCTCCGTAACGGCCAATCAGCTCCGTCTCCTTCTCCGGACTGACTCTGCTAGCTGCGCTTGGCCTGAGGTTAACTAGGCCCAGCTCCTTGGGCCGGCCCAGCTTGAGTATTTCACAGGTGCTTGACCCGAAGCTGTTTAAATGGTTCATTTGGGCCGTCCTCTGGATATCGGCCCATCAGGCAGATATGTTGAAAAAATTATACCAGGTATTTGCATTTCATCAGTTAGCTTCAAAGGAGTTGGGAAGTGAGAAGGCTTTGTATTTCGACTAGCAACTTGGTAGTCAAAATGAACATGTCTCTGTGTGTAAGTAGTAATTGATGGCACTGTTGGAGGAGAAGATGATGGGATTGTAATGCTATTACTCTCTTCCTCATAAGTCATGCAGCTGTAGGTCAATATCTACGACGCCATCTTACCAAAGAAGGGGATTTTCAAAATTCTAGACATGGAATGATCAAGTGAAATAATTAAAACAAATAGGTTTGATGGATTTTAAGTCTCTCAACAAGTAACCACTTTTTTGGCCAAGATTTTATCATGCAATTCTGTTAATTTAGTTGATTGTGGGTCCGTTCCGTAGGACTTATTTTTTCTACTTATTACTTATTCTTATTAAAATCAGATCAGATCAAACCAGACCTAATTAGATCAGATCAGATCCAATCAGATCAGACTCAATCAGACCAGATCAGATCCAATCAGATCAGACCAGATCCAATCAGATCAGACCAGATCCAATCAGATCAGATCAGATCCAACCAGATCCAATCAGATTAGATCAGACCAAATCAAATTCAATAATATCAAATCAAGAAAAAATATAAAAGATAATGTTTATATTATTCAATGATTAAATAATAATTACTATTATTTGATTAAATCACATTACTTTATTTAAAACTACACACACCTAAATCTTAATTAATATTATAATTTTAAATATTATTGTTGTAATATTCTTATTATTATTGTTATTATTATTATTATTATATTTCAACTACAAATCATTTTTTTATATAATTGTTTAGCTTGTAGGATAGAAATGATGCATGGAAGCAATGTTAAAGCTTAGAAAGTTTTATTTTTCATACTTTAAAAAGAGTTATTTTAAAATACTTGTTTATAAAATAATTATACAAAACTTAGTTTTCAAAACTATAAATATTTTATACTTAAAAAAACTTACTTTTAAATTTTAAGATACTTAAGGGTGAGTTTATGACAAAATTGATAGAGGTGTAAACGATATTAGTGCTTAAAATTTTATATGATCTTTAATTTGTAACATGAAATATATTATTATGTAATATCTATATAGAATGTGATAATTTTGTAGATAGCATCAATATTTTCTAATATTTGTTTATTTTAATACCGATTATTTAGTTTTCACAAAAAATTAAAAAATTGTGATATTAAAAAGATGTTTAATATTTTTAAAAAAAATTTAAACAAATTAATGATTAGCTAATTTTCTTATTTTACTTTTTTTATGTATATATGAATGGTAATACTTTTAAACTATTAAATTTTGTAATAATTTTAAGTTTAATTTAAATCAAATTTAAATTCATTTACATCAGATCTAATTAGAGAAAATCAGATCTAATCAGATCCGATCAGATCCATCAGATCAGATCAGATCTAATCAGATCAGATCCAATCAGATCAGATCAGATCCAATCAGATCAGATCAGATCAGAACTTCAAAAATTCAGATCAGATTCAATCAGATCAGGCGTACGAAATAGAGCCTGTGTACATGACAAAAATAAAGATGGATGTGCTCTTTTTTAATACCAAAATGCCTTGGCATATTTTTCATCAATTTAGCTTTTGTGATTCTTTCCTCTTTAATTGATTGATTAATAAATGTAATTTAAACATAGGCTCCGTTCCGTTCAACTTATTTTTTCTGATCTGATCTGATTCTAATAAGTTCTGATCTGATCTGGTCTGATCTGATCTGATTGCATCTGATCTGATCTGATCTGATCTGATTGGATCTGATCTGATTTGATTTGATCTGATCTGGTCTGATCTGATTAATTATGATTTAATTTAAAATTTCAAATCAATAAATTAATTTGACTTTATAATAACGTTTGAAAATTGTAATGATAATTCATATTATAATATAATCAATATTTTTTATTTAATGATTATTTTTTAATAAAATAAAAATAGTTAATTAATATATTAGAATAATCATTCATATTATAATGTAATAATATTTTTTATTTTATGATTATTTTTTTTAAAAATTAGAATTATACATTATAATAAATATTTAATTTAGATATACATTAAAAAGTAATTAAATTTAGATAATCAATATATAGAAGAGATAGTATTTTTATTAAAATATCTCATCCTTATAATAGATCAAAAGTTTAGAAACTCAAATTACAAGTAGCAATAAAAATATATTTTAAAAGTAGAATTAGATTGACATTGTCAATGTTTTTTAAAACTAATTTTTCCGACGTCTAATAATTAAGGATTACTTTCTCAGTTTTCTATTTAATCTATTTCTAAAGTTTATTCTTTTTCATTTTTAAGAACAATAACAACAACAACAACAATAATAATAATGATGATGATGATGATGATGATGATGATAATAATAATAATAACAATAATAATAATAATAATTCTTGATGGGATCTGATTTTAATAAGTCGTGATCTGATCTGATCTGATTGGATCTGATGTGATCTGATGTGATCTGATTGGATCTGATCTGATTCGATCTGTTCTGATCTGATCTGATTCAATCTGATCTGATTTGGTCTGATCTGATCTGATTTTAATAAGAATAAGAAAAAATAAGAAAAAAATAAGTTGAACGGAACGGGGCCATACTCCTGCTTTCAATTAAATGTTTCACCTTTCTTTTAAGGAGGTTAAGAAATAATTGTATCATTTTCCTCAACGAATAAAGGAAGAGCATGATCCCTTTAATGTAAACTTTTGTAGGCTTGGTAGAGTTGTTAGGCTGTAATTCCATATTTTGGTTCTCAATTGCTGTGTCATGGAACCATGAACCAAATTTCAAAGGTTTATCAAGTTCCACCTTCTGAGGCGACAAATCTACCTTGCATTTATTATTTCCTTTAAAAGAGAGTTCTCGAACTTCAATAGGGGTATCAAGTAAGGTTCCACAGGCTTTGACAAACATGACCTGCACAACAACATTATGTGACCAAAATAAGATAAGGCACATAGTAAGAGCTCCAAAATCATCATCTCTTATACATTTAGGTGAAATCTGTCGCCAAAACATAGCCTTTGATACGTGAAGAATTAATGCTTATGTTTTTTCAGGTGAAAGCATGGCAGCTATTGGTGATACACTTGCTGAAATCTCAGTAAATTGCAGGTGACATGAAACATTAGAAGCACTTTGACATGTACTCTTTCAATTTTATGTAAAAGAATTTTCATTACAAAATGTTAATTTCTATACTATTTATTATACTTTGATTCTAATATCTACAATATTAAAAAATTTTGTTAAAAATATATTTTCTTTTCTTTAATCCAAAAAATACTTTTTGAATCGATAAAAATTTCGTTCTTGCGTGGATTTGGATGGCTGAGTTGGCATCTACCGTGGCTAAAACAATAGAAGAAAGCCCGTGACTCTGTTCATTCCACGTCTCCGCTCATTATACGTTTCCTTCTGCGCTGACCCGACCTCAAACGGAAACTGGTCTTCCTGCCCTATCTGCTTGCGCTTCCCCTCGAATCCCCATCATCGCCATCGAATCAAATACGGACCTGCTTGCCTGCATCCTTTGGGCAACCGATTCTGACTAAAAGTCCATTAAACCGTCATCGCCGGCTTGCCTCGAATCCCATCATCGCCATCGAGCATGGTTGTTTTTTAATGAGTGGTGTTTGCTTTGTATTTCAATTAAAATGCAGCCCTCAACCTTATGAAGTTTAATCTCAAAAGAGGGGTATCTATATTTATGTGGGGATCCCAAAGAGATGGCTAAGGATGTACATCATACACTGCATGACATTGTTCTAGAGCGGGTACGTTACTGACCTATTGATTCTTATAACTACTACTTCCTTTGTACAAGTTTGGTAGTCCACTTTCTGAAAATCTCATTTCTAATAAATGAATATAAGATGCCTAATAAGCCATTTACATGAGTTTGTCAGTCATTTGTGTCTAGAATACTCTTATCCTATCATTTAGATATTTTAGACAAGTCATCATAATTTTGGTAAGAACATGAAGCATTAACCCATTTCATTCCCTATAAGTGTGAAATGAGAGAAATGTATATAGTAGTCCTCCGAACAACATTAAGTTTATCCTTACGAGTTACGCCTAAAAGCTTAATATTATTGGATTAGAAAGAATTCATGCATATTCAACCAATAGTAAGAGAAATTATGTTCTGAAATACAAATCTCTGCTTCTTTTGTCTTTAAACTTTTCTTATTCTGCTCTAAAACAGAAGTCAAACATATTTTAGATTGAATAAATTGTCCATTGTCCTACGATGTTGGCAATTGTATGTATTATCTGCAAGACATTTGGATTTTGGAAGGATATATATCTGAAGAGCCATTAAGGGGCAAGAGATATATATTACTATGCAAGCCAACTGTATACTACCTTTTAGGGATTTAATTATATATACTCTTTAACGAATTATTATCTTAATATATCGTAGTGGCTTAAATTAACCGCTGAAATTTATAAGTGACGTAGTTACTCATTTTGTATTTCATAATTATATATATATATATATATATATATATATATATATATATATATATATATATATATATGTGGGTGTGTGTGTATCTCATTAAACATTGATAACAAAATTCTATGATCAAAATTTTCTACATTTCATATAAAAAATATATTCCGTAAAGCATTTCAAGAAAAACTAAACAAGCAAATTATAAGAGATAGCACAAGTTCCATTACAGCAATTTATATATCTCAACGAGTTTAATTTGGTACATACAAACCCTAAACTTTTGGTTCATTTCGTCGAGTTGTTGCTTGTCTCTTTCATTGCGCATGCTTAACTCACACACCTAAAACACATACTTTCATACTTAGGACATGTGATTGTTATATAGAAGTAATGGTATTTACCCATGCATTATAATGTTCCAAATATCTCGGAATAGCTAATTTTACATATAGTTTTGGATCAAATAAACACCAAATTAATACTCAAGACTACATGGTGACATTAATGTCAAATCACAAACTATTATTTTATAACATCCAAAACCAAAACACATTCTCTGTCCCACAGAAGGTGTGAGGTTGGAATTGCGACGATAATTGAGCAAGGAAAAAATGTGGTAGAAAGTGGTGCAGATAGTAGAGATAATATGAGTCACCAAACTTTTCCATATATAAATCGAACTTTTTTTTGTGGGACATGAATGAAAGTGTGGAGAACAAAACATAGTACGTGAGCCTGGAGTCTCAATAATTCTTCCTCTCTCAGCCACGAATTTTCCTTCCTTTTTTCTACGTGTGGATATCGAACGAATTTATTTTTAAATAAGAAAGTTTTAAGACTATTGAATTGGGAGAAACTTAAAAGTATAAATCACAAGATAGATATTATTATTATTTTTATTTTTATTATTATTACTATTATTATTATTACTACTATTATTATTATTATTATTATTATTATTATTATTATTATTATTATTATTATTATTATTATTATTATTATTATTATTATTGAGCTCTTGGCTCATTTAATTTGGTATATATCTCAACGAGTTATACGAGATGATAATTGAGAAGGAAAGAATTGTGGAAGAAAGTGGTGTAGGGAATTGAGATAATATGAGCTATAAAACTTTTCCATATATAAATAGAATTTTTTGTAAGACATGAAAAAAAGTGGAGAATACACCCCTCTACTTGAGCTGTGATTCTCAGGTTTTCCTCTCTTGGCAAGGGCTTTTCTTTTTGTATTTCTACCTGTAGATATCCAAAGAATTCTTTTTTAAAATACGAAAGTTCTAATGACTATTGAATTAGGAGAAATTTAATAATAGAAATCAAGAGATTACTATTATTATCATTGACAATGAAGAGAATCAAATCACATTTATTTGAGCTAACATATGTCCAATAAGAACTAGCACATATTATCTCAATTCCCTACACTACTTTCTCCCACAATTCTTTTCTTCTCAATCATCATCGCGTATAACTCGTTGAGACATATACCAAATTAAATGAGCCAAGAGCTCAATAATAATAATAATAATATCTATCTTGTGGTTTATATTTTTAAGTTTCTCCCAATTCAATAGTCTCAAAACTTTCTTATTTAAAAATAAATTCGTTCGATATCCACAAATAGAAAAAGGGAAGTAAAATTCTTGGCTGAGAGAGGAAGAATTATTGAGACTCCACGCTCAGGTACTATGTTTTGTTCTCCACACTTTCATTCATGTCCCACAAAAAGTTCGGTTTATATATGGAAAAGTTTGGTGACTCATATTATCTCTACTATCTGCACCACTTTTTATCACATTTTTTCCTTTCTCAATTATCGTTGCAATTCCAACCTCACACCTTTTGTGGGACAGAAAATGTGTTTTGGTTTCGGATGATATAAAACACTAGTTTGTGACTGTAACACCCCAACCCGCGTGACCCGGATACAAGGACCAGCGGATCGGGTTGCTACTACATTGGCATCCAAACTCAATAATTCCCAAAACAATTTAAAAATATTTAATTCAAAACAATATTTAAATACCCATCAGAGTAAATCAAAACGGTGCGGAAGCCTTTAAGTACTTAATCAAAATACAACTTTGGGTTCTTGCCCTTAAAAACATAATCAATTTAAACTTAAGTATTAAATCAGATAACTCCTCCAGCTAGCATCCATCCATCTCTTCGCCCTCGCTGCCTCCAAGACCGTCTCATTATTCATCGTTCCTGTTACCTACGTGTAGCAAATAGGAAAAAGGGCTACACGCTCAGAATTGAAGCTGAGTGGAATCTATCTAACATTCGACTACGCACATAGACGAACCCACTAGCTCATAATTCCATACAATATCATGCACATAAGTATACAATATAATAAAACATAGCAGTCATTAAATAAATTCACAAGTCACAAATCATAACCTCATTTCCTCTTTATTCATAGCTCATAACATATGTACCAGACTAAGTTCATACTTCCATATTTACAACCTTATGTTCGGACTTAGAGTCACTACCTACGGCTAGGGGTGGACACGGTACGGTTCCGATTCCGGAACCGCCAGTTCCGGTACCTCCACCCCTTGGTACCGGTACCGGTACCATTTCGGCCACCCATAATTTCCTTTTTTTGCTTTTTTATTAAATTTTTAAAGTGTAAAATTGTAAATGTGTAATTGTTAAAAGAAAGGATGAAATAAAAAACTCTAAAAATGAAATTAATAAAGGAAAGAATGAAATAAAAAAATAAAAATAAAAAAAATTTAATTACGGTACCGGAAGCGGAACCGGTACCGCCGGTGCCGGTACCGAAAAATGGGCACCGGAACCGGTACCGGAGTGGGCGGTACCGGTACCGGTTCCCGGAACCGGTGGACCGTCCCGGCCGATGGTAACGGTACCGGAACCGGCGGTACCGTTTCCGGTCACGGTACCGTACCGGTACCGTGTCCACCCCTACCTACGGCCATGACTCAAGTCTACCTTATTCAATACCTTATGACACAACACAACCTGATGACCAACGAAGGAGTTCTCCGCTGGGTGGGTGGTACCCCTGTCCCCTTCGGAACGATTGTTCTTGGATCCCGTACGTACGTTTTCACCCGCAGCGGCCGGATATCAGATCCGCAGGGCTGATCCTATCTATTGACATTCATACTTACAATCTTAGTAAGGCAGTCCTAGAGTTTCTCTAGGTAGCCTAATCATTTATTTACAACATCTCTATAGTTCAGACTTATTCCACATCAATCTGAGCTCCTTATGTACTTTTAAAACACAATAGGATTACATTTAGTTATAACAGAAAGGTTACAATAATCAGGTAATCCATCAACCAACTCATTTAGCGGCCTAGTGTCAGGTGTAAACACCTTCCACTTACCGTCATGCAACACACAAGGCATAGGGAACAATCCAGAAGTTGAAACAGAACAAACAGACGAAGAATCGATCGAACAGTCTGCCGGTCCGGTACCCCTTACGGTACCTCGGTACCGCCAAGCGGTACCTTGGTACCGTCGGTCCGGTACCCCCGTACCGTGCGGGCGCAGGTACCGGCAGTGGCAACCTTCTGTGGCGGTAGCACGGTACCACTAGACGGTACCTACCTACCGTCTGACGTCGGGAAGTTACCGGAACGACAGATTTCGATCCAATTCCAAACCATACAATATGTACAACGTTTCTAAAGATTATTATCATGCAAACCTACACAATTTAGAGTAAGAATACATACCTGTTCATCCTTGTTCAACCAATTCCAATATTATCATAAGATATAAATAAATCACAATTCGATTATAAACAAATAAACCACGTAATCAATCATACGAAACTACGAACGTGAATTTCAAATCTATATACATAATCTAGCGTTAGATGTGCAAGTTCTGACCTCGATTGTTGGACGAATTAAAACAAATCAAATTCTCAATCAACCAAGCGACGTCGGCAACGGACAACGGAGTCACTGCGGTGGCGGCAGTCTCAGTTCCGGGAATCCCAGCAGCGGCGGTGGACCAATGTTTCTTCTTCGGCTTGTTAGCGTCAATGCAGGAAGATCTTGTAATGGAGAAGAGATCTTCGAGGATGAGCTAAAACACAGAAGCTGTAAAGCTTCTGTTACGTGACAGAGAAGTGGGGAAGAAGAAGGATGTAGAAAAGAGTTATTTCATTACTGAACATATCAATGTACAATGTATCTTGGGGTATTTAAAGGGGAGATATTTTGGAAAATATCTTCAACTACCTCTAACCACTCAACAACTTCTTAACCAACTCTCCCCTAAAAGCTCAACGGTTTCCCTACTGTAACATTCCTTTCCCCTTCAAAAGAAAAGAATCCCCTACCCCATTTACAGATTACACAGGAAACTATATACTGAAAAATTCTGGGAATTTGTCTTCCATCTCTTGAGCATTTCTCCAAGAAGCATCTTCTATTTTTTGGCCCTC